CCCTGAAGTTCTTTTTCAGGCGACACCTACTTGATATCCAGGAAAGTAAGTTCATTGGATACTGTAGGCCTGTGCTCCCAAATCTTGTTGGGCCCACAAACCAGCAAATTTCCCAAACATTTTGTGGACCAATAAAGTTTCAAAAAATATTGACTCAAAAATGTTCAGTTTGAAAGACTTTTAACAATTAAAAAAAATAAGCCAAGAACCAACAAAACAACTATAGTGGAATGTCTTCAGAAAATTAGAGAGGTGGGCTTAAAGAAAGGAATCTCAGAATGAAAAATTAAAATAATTTACTTCGGCAGGTGAAAATTTGTCTACAGCATTATTTGGAGAAAAGCCTACTTTTTTCTTCTTAGATAATTTCAACTGCGGCTGTTTTTCCAAAATTCCACATAAGGATAACAGAATTCATTGCTACTTTTGATAAATGTATGATGTTGACAATTTCCATGGACCAGCAAAAAATTCTCTACGGGTTAGGGAACACAGCTATAGATTGGCGGAGCGAAAAATCAATCACGACGTACTGCATGGTTGAAATATCCCATTCTGCAAGCCACACACTGTTTTGTCTCTGGATCCCAAGCACCAGGAATGAAGTTAGCCAATTGATGCAATTCCCACAAATAAGATCCGTAGGCTTGAATAACAAACGGCACGTTTTTCTCCACCTCATTTTTAAGAACCGGTGCGATCCCGGACATGGTGAGTGTCAGTTCGCCTGGAATCAATCAGAAATCATTTGAAAACCAAATATTTATTCCTTGTGTGCGTATGGATGGGAGAGTTGACGAACCGATCCCATTGTTCAAGACGTGAAAAATGGTTGACTTCGTGTCGAGTCGAATGCCAAATTTCTGGCGGAGATGAGGATCCAAATACGCCAAGGAGAAAAAAGTGTGGAGATCCCGTTTTTTGCTGCGAGTCTGTGACGCCAGCAAATCAAGGATGTCCGAAGCGAATCCCATGAACCCTGCAAGATGTTTTTTTTTCTCCTTTCTATAGCTTGATTTGTTTTTAAATTTTTTTTTACGAAAAATACAATCGAACCTCCAAGTGGAACTTCAAGGGAGCAGCAAAGAAAAAAAATCGAGTTGGGGAGGTTTTGAGTTAGAGAAACGAGCATTTTTGTGACGGGGAAACGAAATAAGAGGAATTACAGAAAATTGTAATTTATGATATTCTCACTTCCTTTCAAAACGCATCAAGTTATGTTTTTTCATTGTTTTTCTCTTTCCTGTGGTAGTAAAATAATAATCAAAAGGCATCAAGGAAATTTAAGTTTCAAATGTTTGAGGCCTTTGAGCTTAGGGGGCTTTTTAATGCATTTCAACTGTGGAAATATTCGAAAGGGACTTACAAAAACATTTACGTATCGATATGTATTCGATTTACTGAGGTTTGAGGTATCGGGGAAACCATTGATTAAAGGGAACGTCTCTCTATTTTTTTTTTCCGAAAAGAGAAGCAATTTTGCCCGAGCATTTAAGAAGTGCTGATGTCAAATTAAATTACGCCAGAATTGGAGTACGTTTTTTATTCTTATTATTCTTCAGTTTCCCTCTTAATTAATCATGTCGAATAGAATTTGAATAGAAATATGGATAACCTAACTCTTGTGTCGTATCTTTCAGAACACATGAAATATAAAAGAAGCATCTTAATTTTTTAGTCATTTAAAAAAAAACTGCTCTTCATATTCGAGTAAATATGGTTCGTTGCTATTTTTTTTCCAAATTCATGTAATCATGTTTTACGAACCTGTCGAGCTCAGGAATTTTTTCCTGGAACCCACGTCTGGGTAAAGCGAAGTCAGTGTTTCATTCGCCCGAAAATTCCTCTCGGCTGCAAAAAGAATCTTTGCCTGAGTTTTTAAAAATTTTGCAATGATCCCGTGTGGTCCTCCATTCAGTAATGAACCTGGCCTGAGAAATGAGATAATTCATTACAACAAAATCGTATCCAAGCGCCGAAACTCAAATATCTCACCCATGGCAGTACAGCACGATTAGTCCTTCAATCTCTCCCAAATCCTCGAGTGCGGATTCAAGGTTTAATATGATGTCAGTTCCTCGCAAAAACTGAAATGGGTTCCTTTTACTTTTTTTCATGGTATGTCTGTGACTCCCTGAATTTCTTTACTATTATATAGATGTCGCCTGAGTGTTATTTTTTTCGCTTTCTCTTTTTGATCTGAGTAAATTCCGCTTGTGTTTATTGCTTGGTTTGTATTTCGAGGTCAAGTGAAGTTTGGAATGATAAGGTTGAAATATCTCATTTTTACAAAAATATGTTTATAATCAATAGCTATGGTAATGCAAAATTCTCCAGACACATCATGTAATTATCTGAACTTTGTCCCACAATAAAGCCCTAGTCAGCATAAAAAGCTTATTTTATTCATCAAAGAAAAAAATCATAATTGAGAATTTGTTGGGAAATTTTATTTATTTTTCAAATTTAGAAGAGGTAAACAAAAATTCAATTTATTTTAGCTGGCCTGGCAAATGTTTAGCACCCTGCTGTGACATGTAGCGAACTCTGGTTGTAACTGGACCATTTTCACAAATCATCACGCGAAGAAATACATTCTTAGTTGAAAAATTCCAGAATTTCAGAGCATCATGTGCTACTTCCAAATATATTTTTTTTATACACACCTACTCTAGAAATATCAGACGCCGCGTCAAACTGGAAGAACCCTCAAAGGTGCTTCAGGCGACACCTGTCTGACACGCCAGAACTTTGAATCAGGCATCAAAACGGAAAAAGCCTCTCAAGTTTCTCTTGTGAAGAAAAATCTAGGAATAATTTCGAACTTCGACAAAGGAAAATCAAAATTCTGACCTCAACTTTGTAGCCGTATCCCAATGCTGACCTCATGAATTCCAATGTCGCTGCGGGAACAATTGGTTTTGGCGTAAGAACGATGATTTCCACAGCTGAATCAACAATAATAAATATTTCATCACCATCATCAAAATATGATGAATCATTTTTAAAGTCCTTGGAAAAACTACCTTTGGTAGAAATAGCGAGCGTTGCCGAAGCTACTACTATTAAATATGATACGGGTTTCATGGTTCCAGAAATTATGAGCTATCTTCAGTTTCCAGTAGATTATGTATCTTCTTCCTAAAGTCGCTTGCTTATAATTTTTTTTTCCCCCGTCGAAAAGGATGTTTTCGAGAAGGATAACATGGGAATTGTTTACCAAAAGCAGGATAAGAGTCCGATAGGAAAACATTTGAAAACAGGAGCCGTAAACTCGTTCTATTTTTGCTTTATCTCGTGAATGAAAAAAAAGAAGAAATTTTCGCGTTTTCTTCCTGCAATTCAATGGAGCAATGCTGAATCCATGTTTACTTCTCATACTACCAAAAATGGAACTAGAATGAAAATTTCTGACAAATTCAGTAATAAAATCTGGTAGAAAATTCTTTCACGTGTCAAATGTTGCTTTTTGGGAGACCAATTGTTTGCAAAATTCTGTTTGGATATTTGCTCTAGAATAATCTGATATGGCCAGAAACAAATTCAGTTTCCAAGTACTGCAATTTTTATCTAATTAAGGAGAGGAGTTCCATTTTTAGCAGTATCCTCAATGCAATAAATTTTGCTATAACACACTGTTCAAGGTGTCTGGAACTTACTTGTGACACAATATCACCTGGATTAATTTTTGGGATTGCTGAAGTAACTCCATGCTCCTGAATTTCGAGGAATGATCAACATCTTTTATATTTGGTTTCACTTTATATATTGATTGAAAAACAATTTACAGAGTTCTAACGAATTATTTCGTCAAAAATTTGGATGAGAAATGGACTAATAAAAAAGATGAAACTTGATGAAAAAAAAGACTAATAACACAAGTGACTTCCATTATTTATACTAGAATACTTCGAAACTTTTCTTGTTGAAAATATCATTTCATTACCACATCCATCGCAAAACCCTTCCAAGAATGCCAACAAAAGGAAAAAAAAACGTACGGAACAAAAGTCTGACCAGAAAAAAAGCTCATAAAATTATCACCTTCTAGAAACATGAATTCACAAATGTAAGGCAAGTAAAACGCAACAAAGCGGAATAGCTTTTTGTAAGAGTTCCAAAAAAAAATGTCTTCTTGTCCGTTTCAGTTCTTTGTGATGTCAATGGTGTGCGCTTCTGGGATTCCAGCAACCGCGGTTTTGTTCACTTCGGCCACCGCAAGGGAAGTAGAGCACTTTTTCTTGCTGCCTCCTGGTGGTGGAACCAAGGAAGATGGCGATAAAGTGAGCTCAGGCTTGCTAGATGTCGCCGTAACTCCTGAAGATGCACTTGGCTGTGCCCAGATGTCGTGTACTCCATGGCTACCAAAGGGCTGAAAAAAAAGGGATTATTCTTTCTAAGAAAGCCCCTAGAAATTCCATTTAAATTCATTGGAAGCAACATTTGTTCCATTCAACAAATGGTGAATTCGCGATTGTTCCCAGTGACAATGACATATCTCCAAAATAAGAAAAGGAAAAAGGAAAATGTATATTATTCACAGTATTCGTAAAACTCAAAAAATAAAAATGATTGAATAGAAGAATCCCCGAGAATTCACAGGACAAGTTGTTGGCGTGTATTAATTCTTCAACATGAGATCACGAAACTTGAGACAGAGAAACTGAAAATATTTTAATTTTTTGGAGATGAGTTTCAGAGATAAAGTTTTCCAACAGAACGGTTCTAAACGTTATAAAAATTCCACTGGAAACCTTCCGGATTAAAAAAAAGCTCAACTAAGACTTATTAAAAATTGCGGAGAGGAATGAAAGAATGCTTGAGTATTCACTCATTTTTTAGCATGTAATAAGTGTTCCAACATGTGGCCAGAAAATTAAAGGCAGACGAAGAAGCGAAAAAAAACTTGGAAAATGTTCGAATTTTCCGGTGGTGAGTTTCGGGAATAAGAAGGGGGAAAGTTTTTCAACAAAAGCGGTTCCCGACGTTCTATACAGAAAGTTACACTTGAAACGTTCCGCAAGCAGATCGCAACAAATGATTAATTTTAGAAATCAGAAATGAATGAATACTTTTATTTATTTTTACCGGCATTTCCGGACTCGCAGGATCCCGAGGCGAAGTCAGGGTTTCTCCGGGTGCGAGAGACGCAGAGCGTTTCTTCTTGGGCTTGCTGTACTTTTCACTCCTGCTTCGCTTCAACTTCCCACTTCTGCTGCTTTCATTCTTCTCTTCCTCCCAGATCATTTTCTCGAGCAAGTCCAACTCGGAAGCGGAGAACTCCGTCAGAGCCGAGACGACTTCCTCTTCCTCCTCTTGGCTGAAAGTCCTTCCGGTTTGCTGGTGCTGCATGGACAATAGTCTGCAAGACGAAAAAAAAAAAAATGACAAGGACGATAGACGAGGAAAATATACAGTTTTTCTTCTCCCTGCTCCCGTTCGGTGGATTTGGAAAAATGGGGCATTCGGAAAGTTCTTGCGATATTTCCACCTTATGATCAGATAACACATGTGAAAAATCACTGCAAAATCAGGCACGTGACAGTTTTTTTATTGTTTTGTTGTTGTTGTTTTTTTTTAAAATTCCATGCCCTTGAATATTTCATTTCAAAAGCTAGATGATGTCCGCAGCAGCATCAGCAACATTTCGAAGAAATTTCGAGGCGATCTATCGAGAATTTCCTTTCGCGTGTCATACTTTTACTGTTCACTGCAAAATTATTTTTAAATCTTCATCAGTTGGATGATACCAACTTATTAAATTATGTCAATAATATATACTGTAATGGAAATACTCATGAGAAAATTGGCGCTCTTTAAATTGGCAATCATCTCTGTTTTCTCAAGGAAAATACAATGCAGTATTATCCAAAACCGGATGTTATTTAATGTATTGAAGTGTCTTTCCCTGTTCTTTTTAAAGAAAGACAGAGGAAAAAGTTTACTAATAATGTGGGAAACATTGTCATGATCAATTGAAAGTGTTGAAGTTTTCAAATCTGAATGTTTTCAAATTGAAAAAAAAATCTTCTGATTTCATGGGAATTTCCCTGAAAATTGAAAAATTTCTTATGAGTCATTCAAACACGAAAAAATCGGTCAACTTTGGGAATGCTAATACAAACTTATATTGTTGTACCACATACTTTATTATTATTTCATCAAGGAACGGCTGTCCTTTTTCAAAACAATTATAAAAATTGATATTCAATGCAATTAACTCCCTCAATCAGATTCCAATATAAAAAAGCCAAATGCCAACTAAGCTTTTTATTGAGCTCTAAAAAATCTTTGTATGGTCAGTCAGAATTGCTGTTGAGTAGCACCCAATTTTGCTTCAAATTATTTAAATTCAATTGAGGACTGTTTATGCGTTCTGTGAACCATTTAATCTTGAGGGACATTGTATGAAGTCCTTCCAGTGTTCATGAGGAATGCCACTAGGCCCTGGAGTCTTTTTGTATTTTTTGCCTTTAATGACTGTTTCTATTTCTTCCTCTTTAAATGGCAAATCCAAGAAGTAATCAACTCTTCCTGCTGCTGTAACGTAGTCAAGGGGTGAAAGACCTCTGTTTTCCTTGTACATGACTTTGGAAAAATGCCTTGACCATTCATTGCCAGGAATGGAAGGGTCAATTACATTCACTATTTTCTTTTTGAGCATTTAAATGTCATTGAGTGGATTTGGGTTGGGTGGGAAGAGGGTTTGGTTGCGGAAATCTTGATTGAACCTTGTGAATGCTGAAAAGCGGCAAACAAAGTGTTCTGTTAATTCATTCATTCAATTGAGGATTATTATTGGACAAAACTCTGAATGGAGATGAAACTAAAAATCCTTGATTTCAAATTGATAACTTTCAGAACAACCCTCACTTCATGCGTAACAAACAATGAACGGTTTCATGAAATTTTGATCTTTCAGATTGACCCTCGCTTCATGCATAAAGAAATCATGAAGGCTTTCCAGCTTGAACTTTCAGAATGTCCCTCGCATCATGAATAAAGAATGAACCTTTCAGCAGCGTGTCTCAAGTTGTCAGCTTTCTTCTCTCGTTCCGACATTTGCTCTGCCAGCATCATGACTTCCCAGTCATTTGAAGACCTTTTTGCATGCGGATTTCGCGCTATTTCAGAGAGAAACAATAAAAGACTCGGAAGTAAGAATCTTTCCTGCTTTTTTCCGCCAACTTTTCGCCGATTTTCCCCGCTTTTATGTACAGTACCTGGGTGTTCATCATCATCTGAATGATGTGGGGATGTTGATTCCTCCACTCTGATGGCGACATCAGTTCTAGAAAGGTTCCTTTGCAAAGCAGATGCAAACTCCAGCTCCATCAGTTCTTCCTGGGTAAGTGCAGTTTTGACTAGCATGGGAGAATTGGTGGATTGCTTCCTGCTTTCATCCTGTTGATATTGATAATGAATTGAAACATCTTGAAAAAAAACATGAAAATACGACCAAAACAAAATGCATCCTAGAAAAATGTTAAGGGCAAAAATGAGCTGAAAAAAACTTGGAAAAGCTTTAAAAAATGCTGAAATTAATAAAAAAACATTTCTCTGAATAAAAGCTGTACTTTTTCTCTTCAAATTACAGGCTTGACTATTCAAAGAATTCTGACAGAAGTGCAAAATTTTCCAGCAAAATCAATAGCATTCCCAGTAATCTTGGGCCTTCATATTTTTTTCGAGGGGTGAAAATCGATACTTTTTGAGCATTTTTCTGCACATAATAAATTTAAAAAAATTTTCTGCTTTCGCGGAAGAACATTTTAAAACAATTTAAAATGTTTCTAGTGCTACTTACGCAGTATTATTTCTCCATGTCTTGCTTCGTTTTACTGTAATTTTCAAGCATTTATTTCACTGCGTCTGTTTTCGTTGGACTTCAATAAAAAAAACCCGGCATTGAAAATTATTCGAAGCTTCAAAATACTGTAGTTTAAATATGAAATTCCTTATAACGGCATCTGTTGAAATTGGATTTTAAGCGTGGAAAGAAAAAACTTACCAATGCTTTATGATCGTTCTGAGTGTGAGTAACTCTTTGGCAACTCAAAATTCCTCCGCAGTCGTCATCACTGGTAGACGATGTCAGAGACTCCACCTCAGCAACACTCATCTAATATTTAAAAAAGTATATATATTGAACATGCTGAAATAAAGTTTCAAATTTTTTAAAGACATACATTTATGATATGCCTCACCTGTAATGTTTTCAGTTTCTTGTGCAAGAACCTGATAGTGTCTTCTTTCTCTCGCAGCTCGGACTGCAAATTCAGCAGCTTCGTGGAGTATCTTCTGCTCATTTTGTGCTGAGTGAATGAAAACAATCAAAATTTTGCCATTTTTACACAATTGGATGCGATGGTTTTGACATAATTTCAATGTAGCAATTTTAAATGGCGAAGATGCGAAAACTCGGGGAAAAAAACTGACTTCAGCAATTTCGAAGCAAATTTTATCCTTTTTGTGCGCGTCGTTTCGTCGATTGATTTGGAAAATAAATTATGAAGCTAATCAGACATCACACACATATAAACGGTTTATTATAGCTTTTACAATTTTCAAGTAGTCATGATGCGGAAATTTATGACAAAAAACCGGAATATTTTTTGAAATTTAGCATTATATTTAATTGCGCGCGTTCTTTCTTCGATTGATTTACAATAAAAATTACAAAGCTATTCAGACATCAAATTTATATACGGTTTATTATAGCTTTTACTGCTCATAAAATTATAAATATTGCAGACTTGCATCGCGAAACCTAAGTCGATGAATTTTTTTGCGGTTTGCGATGTCTGATTATTTTCTTCCTGCATTTCGCCATTTATTTTGCCGCGATGATGAAAAAAAGGGTCGGTGGAATTCGAAGTATTTTGTAGACCTCGTTATAAAAAAAAAAAAAAACGGAAGGAAGAAGGTGTTGGAAATCGAAATATGCAGTACCATTTTATCGTGGAAAAGTTCCTTTATGCCGAGCAGCACGCAAACGAGTAATGCTTTGTCTTTTTCCTCGATGCCTCGTGACTCCAAACACGCGAACCAGTGATTGAAACCCGTTGATTGCTGCCCCTCATCACTTGATGATCCATCTGAGCTCTGGTCCCCATCACCCCCGAAAAGTGCTCCCGAAAAACTCCTGCCTTCGAATGTCACCGTCTTCTTGGAACTGTCATCATCTGCACCCCTTCCAGTACTGCTATTTTTTATTATTCAGGATGAGAGAGAGAAACATTTTCGAAAAAAAAAATCAGAAGAAAATGTACGATAATCTGAAATGGAAGAAGAGAAATAGTCCAAGTTTCCTGAAAAATCTTATTTGAAATAAAGAGCTGCTTGTAAGAAAAAAAAAATGTTTGGACCTGGATGATATTTTTGGGGGAAGGTTAAAGATACACTGGACCCTTGGGTAACAAACTGCTCAGTTAACCAACTTTTTGGCTGATACCTCCATAAAAAAACTAAAATTTGGTTGAAAATTTTTTTTCTGGGGAACATTCCCAAGTTTGAGATTTTAAAACGTAATTTTTAGGCTGAAAAAAAAAAGATTTTGACCTGGATGATTTTGCTTCAAACTCACCCATCAACCGTTTTGCTGCGTCTGGTTTTTCTGGCAGTCCTGGTTTTATTTGGAATGAACGCATTCGAGTTTGACAAGCTTTTCAAAATGCTTCTCAAAGTCAAAGCAGCCCCGGAAATTTCTTCTTGAGTTTCTAAAGAAGAAAAAAAAAACAAACAGAATCCCTCACTTTTCTATTTCAGTCCCATCAAAACACCTTTTCTTTCTGATTCGTATTTATACCGATAATGGAAGGTTCTTCGACGACGTGATCGCCTGCTGGTGATGGGTTCTCCTCGGGTTTCTTGGAAACCCCGCAAGAACCCGGAAAACCCTTGATCCGGAACTCGCTGGCTGGGGCTTCTTTCGGCTCTTCCGATTTGTCCACAGCTGTTGTCAATGAGTCCAGACTCGTGGATATTTCCTGAGCAATTTGGCGCTGAATAGGATGCTTTTCTCCTGCAGGAGTTGATAAATCTTGAGCTGACTTCGTATTGGCACTGGCCGTTGATTCCGTGGTTGACCTTTCCCTCGCACTCTTTGGTCTGTTTGACCTCGCTCTGATTTTGAAAACAAGAGGAAAAATATGCGAAATTCAGGTAAGCTTTGAAGAACCTAGATATATATTTTTTGGCAGAAAAAAGGATTTGCAATAAGCTGAACGAATTAGCTTCAAATAAACAGCACCAGAACCTTTTTCTCTATTTGACGAAGTTCTATATTTTTTGTGGTATTAACTCTACAGCTGTGTTTTGACAAACAAATGCCCCGACTCTGGTAATTTCCAGCCAAACAAAACAAAAAAACCTTGAGAAATATACAAGGTTTCTGCATTGGCTCACAAATTGAATCCAGCTTTGAAAATTTTGTGATTTCCCTTAAAACTTTCAAATTCAGGCTACATACATTCCAGCTAACAAACAACATGTTGTAAACAACTGTGTTTATTAAAAAAACCCCACTATTATACAATAGTTTTAAAATATTTCATATTTTCAAAGAGAAAATTTCAAGCAGGAAAATGATCTCACTTGGCAAAAGCAGCTGGTTCAAAGGATCCAACAGACTTCCTTTGAAGTTGTCTTGGAGATGCACTCAGCTTCTGAGATGGGTTCCTAGATGGCGACAGCAGTTGTGGCACTTGATAAACTGTTCCCAGAATGTCAAGTTCTGCTCTACAAGCAGCAGGGTCTTGACTAGGTATGAAGTGCTCTAGTTCTTCAGGTGAGCAGGAGTCTTCAGTTGGGGTATTCACGTTGATCTTCACCTTTTGATGTAATTTAAATGCATTTAAAAGATTCAATCTTCAATTTAAAATATTTGGTACTTTCCTGTTATCTCAGTACCCATTTTTCTTTGTCTTGAATTCAGTATTTGTTCAGTTAGGTTAGGTCAAGTTATGTTAATTGAAAGATATTTGTAACTAACATAACCTGACCTAACCTAACTTTACCTAACTGCCTCCCAAAATCAGTTTCAGCAGAATGCGGAAAAATGAAATTCACAGTTTCTGGTAGGTGCATGGAAAGTAGGGACTGAGATAACAGGAAAGTACCAAATATTTTTTCTGCTTGTGTTATGCCTATAGATAACAGTGTTTTCCCCAATCTTTTTGGGCCTGTGGACTGACAAATTTCAATAAAAGTTCGCTGGACTGGCGAATTTCCCAAAATTTTTCTACAGACCTACAAAGTTTTATGAAATGCTTGCAAACTCAAAACAGTTTTGCTTGCAATACTTTATGAAAGGTATTCAAGAATTTTCTTTTATTGCAACAATTAAGCAATCTGTGAACCATGATTTGGAAACACTGCTAGTTAACACTGGAAAATATGATTCTTGGCCTGAGTGAGCCTCTTGAAGTGCTTGATGAGCAGCATATTGATCACAGAGAAAGATTTTAATGTAGCCATTGTTTTCAAGATGCAATAAATTTTTTTATCTGAGCACTTCCTGAAATTCTGGACAAAAACAACTCACTTCAGGAAGACAAAAGCTAGTTGTATCCCTTACATCATTTTTCAATCTCCTTGATGGGTTCGAATCCGTTGTTTGAGCTCTGTGCAACAAAGAAAGTCGTTTTTCCATGAGAGAAAGACTTGCTGGAGGCCTTGGTCTAGAAGCATTTCCAATCCTCTCCCCAGGCTTCATCTATATAGAACAAAAGAAAATTATCTAAAATCCAGATAAAGTAAAATCCTTCTATGACACATACTGTTACAAAACATTTTTCAGTACAAAAAACTTTTTTCCAAGTCCCAGCAGAAATCCTATAGGTTACATGTTGAAAAACATTAATCCAACAAACTCTACTATTCCAGTGTAGCAAACTTTTTGGATCAACAAGTTGGGATTCTCCTAATGAGAAATCTCCAATTAAGGCAGGCACAGTCTCAAATTTCCCATTGGAAAATTAAGTTTGATGAAAACTTTGTCATATGGGGTTTAGATGAAAACAACAAACCCAGCAAAACTCATGTTGAAAGGGTGCAGGGCTTGTTTGGAGTTTGCATGCTTGAGAAACCCTAAAGATGCTCAACAGCTGCAAGCTTTTTTTTTTGAACATCCACTCTTAAGAATCTTTTCAGGCATTGCTTCAGAAAGTGAAACTTTTATTTGCCTGTTATTGAGAGTAAATATTTGTTGATGACATTTGAATTTCTTTTTGAAGATCAGAGTTTTTCAAAGGTGAGAAAATATCCAAAGAGGCCACAAAAGGAAGATTTTGAATATATGCAGGTTTAATTTGAAGCAATCTTCCCAGTTAGTAATTTTGAAAATCTCTTTATAAGAAGTTATTTGTTCTAACAAACTTTTTCTGAAGTCCCCACAAGTTTGTTGTAACTATATTGCACAGAACAGAAGAAGGAAATGTGAAGGCTTGCCTTTTGCATTTCAATGGAAACCCCGCCAACGGTGTCCTTGACAACTTGTAGCGTTTCGTCGAGCGTCCACGGGATGGCAGCAGGGTCGGGCTTGTCAGCTGCCTCCGCTGTCCGCTTGGTGTCGCCCGTTATGAGATCCGGCGGAGGGGCACACGTCTGGAAAGTTCTAGATTCTTCCCCAACCCGGGGCTTTCCCGCTGACAAGGAATGTTCAGTGTCTGGAGTCTCTTCGGCTGTGAGAGGTCGGATGAAACTGGAACATGAGACTTCTGCCGAGTCCCTGCTGGTGCTTTCTATGCTGCTGACACTCGCTGCCACTTGCCTGTGCCTGAGGGGAAAACAATATTAAATCTACTGGGGTGAAGGAATATATGAAATGAACTTTCTAGCAGTTCAAGCCCTACCCAAAAATGTATGACCGATCTGCGTCCTTTGTTCAATGCAAACATGCCGAGTTCCGGAAAATTTTCCGAAAATATGAAGGACTTATCAACAATCCTTTCATCTGATCAAAATATTGAAACTACATTCTTGATTGAAAGTATCAATGAAAACATACCAATTTCGGAAAATATTCAAGGAAAATGAAGGAATTGTCAACAATCCTTTTGTTTTGAAAAATATTCATACTAAATTTCTGTTGAAAAATATACTTCATTCAAAAATGTACAGTATAAATTGAGCCTCAATAACTTGAACCTCAAAATTTCCATTTTTTTCAAAGTCCCTCTCTAAATTCCGTTATCAGAAACCTCCCTGAATTTTGAGGGCTTTCCCCTCAAAAACCTCCAAAAAAGAAATTTTATGGAAGTTTTTTTTTTCATTATTTTTGGCACAGAAAGCAATATGCAAAAAAAATGTCTGTGCTTTGAAAGAAAGTGGAAGACTAACTATATTGGGCAAATGAACCCTTGCCTCCAAGTTCAGTATCCTGTCAACTCATTCAATAAGTTGCTTTTTGAGGCTGTTGTCTGTATAGACCAAGGGAATAAAAATACCTTCAAATATATTTTGTTGAAACATGCCGTAAACATGTTAGTGTGTTTGGTTTGTTATTTGATTTCTCCAAACTTTTCTCTCAGAACGATTTAACAAAACGTTCAGAGAGACTCTTTATTGGCCCTACTTGAGATCTAATTAAGACTCCTTAACTCAGGAATAAAGGTATATTTATACCTCCATGAGAACACATTCTGACTACAGGATCTCATCCAGAATCAGGAACTGCGGGTTCCAGGAACACTTCTAAATTAATACACATACATCCAGGTGTACATTTGAATATAAGCATGACAATATATGCCTGGCAGTTCAAAAGAACCATTCCCTCTAAATCAGCAATTTAGAACGAAGAACCAGTGATGGTTGTACATCACTGTTGTCAAATAGCAAATTGTGAACAAAATGAGCATAAATAGGCTGCAAGGAACAGAAAACCTTGTAGTTAAGAGATACTTTCCCATGTAAGGAGAAAGGGAAATAAATCTTGAATCATTTTCTGGGTTAAAAGGTCCAGAATATCAATTACAATCTCCTGTAATTCTTTCTTTCTTTCACTAAAAGAATGCGTGTTTCCCTTATTCAAACCTTTCTAACTTGATTTTTTTTTGCATGATCCCCTGGAAATCAAATAAAAGACGCCCAACTATATTTACAGTACAGAACTTGAAGATGGTTTGCAACAATTTTTCTCGAAATTGACAGGAAAATTGGCGAGTGTGCATTGAAGGTGGGTTTAAAATTTGTAAAAATGTTTGGGAATTCAGGTACACCTTCTACGAGAATATTAGGGGAAAGTTTGGTCCGAACTCAAGGAAAATAAATTTCTTTAAATTTAAACAATTGAAAATTGATATAATCCAGGTTCATTTCATAGATAAATTTAAATTCCGGCGCGTGTTGAGGATACCCATCTTATTTACTAGAGGAATCAAGTATATCTGGAAAACTATTCGTGCAGTATATATATGTATTTTTTTTTCAAAATATATAATTTGTGTGAAGGCTGTGAACTAACCTGCTGCCATTTTTCCTGAAATTAGCAGGCTTTCTCGCCCCGTTTAACTTCCTCTGCTGCTGGGAACTCGCGACCAACAACGGGTCGCTTTCATCCGAACTCGATCCAATCTTGAAATCCCCGACTTTGTTGATACCGGGTGCTGCTGAAATCATCTTGCTGCTTGTTTCCCCGCCGGAGTCTCCTCCTCCTCCACTACCGGGTGCTGGAAACATTCGGAGTTTGGCTCCAT